CACAAGTGTATATTTCTATATTAGATTGTAACTCTAATTGGGAGGTAAAACTCATATGACTATAATTTAGACCATAAACGTTCGACACATTCGATGTGTTATTAATTAATGAAATAAATGAATATCGCATATCAAAAGTTTCGAGAGTGAATTTAAAATAACGACAGTGTACATTTATTTTATTGGTTAGAACGGATATTCTTGTTGCTTATAATATGCGAGCGTGTATGTGTTGATAATTTTTTATATCTATTAATTCTACTTTAGGTATTGGCTATCAATGATCAAAGCTTTTTCTAATAATGAGGGGAAAGATTTAATTTAATAACAAATCCTAATAATTGATCTAATGGTTATGTTTATAATTCTTTTGACGAACTTTATAATACCTTTAATGATATATACTGAGAATGAAATAATCAAGACTATTAATCAATAAGGAAGACTGAATGAGTACTTTAAACCATTACCACCAAAATAAGTCAACTAGTCTGTTATTGTCAAAGCTATGCGGCCAATTTTTAAAACCGAGTACTACCTCTAGTCCTCATTTTATAATGAGGAAGTATTTTAGTATGTATAAGTATTTTAAGAAAAAAAAAGCAACTCACTAGATGGCGACTCTACCAAAAGTTGATTTTTGCAGGAAACGAATCGACCAAAACTAGTCATTTCCGTTCCTTTTAACTAACATATTAAAAAAACTGATATTTACGATAATACGAAAAAGTACAAACTGAATATGAGTGTGTTTTGAAAATTAATTTACTTTTATGCATGAAAGAAAACCGGAGGGGTTGTCATGGAGTAATCAAAAAAGTAACGTAGCGACATCTAGTTTGATTTCGGGAACTAATATATTTTTGTGAATACTTTCTCATTTAATGATAAGAGAAAAAGAAACGAAATCATTAGGCCAGTCAGTATGAATGGAAACCGATGATGTGATATAGTACGAAATAGAACGTCAAAACAGTAGGTTGCTACTCGAGTGGCTAAATTTACCCATCATATAACCGATTTTCAATAGGTTGGCGTCGATGCTGTGAGTTACAATTTATCTGCTTTACACTTAGACTGTGAAAATAAATACGATCGATTATCGATTATCTTTAAATACGATCACCACTAACTTATTTTCAAAACTTCGCATCGATGTTTAATTTCCTTATGTTTTCTAATAAATAACATTATTTATCAATAATTAAAAATTATTTTAATTTATTAACTAAGGAAGTTTAATTGCGTGTAAATGTAAAAGCCCTGAATAAGCATTTAATGAAAAATAATACAAAATTGATATAAGTAATTTAATGTATTTCATTTCTGAATCGAACCACAATCTACAGTTGTAATTTACGCAATGAAAAATATCCGTGAAATATAAAAGAAATACCGTTATTCGATATTATATTGTTGCAGAATGGCGTCTGTTGCAGAGTATTTACGGCCAATGATTTGTGGTCTCCTTGAAGCATACTATATTATACAGCATCACAAAGGATAGTAACTCGTATTCCCAGAATCCATAAACTGCTGACATTTCAATTGTGATTTACGAGATCTGGCATCAGACAGTGCTGTCTTTAGCGCTGAGCTCAAGCCGCTACAGACTTATTAGGTTTTGCTTTCTTTCTTTTCTCCTCATATAAACTTTCCACGTGGTTCGATAAAAATATATGAACTATGACTTAGTTCTTGTTCGATCTGATTCTAACAAAATTAAAATGATGTCAGCGTGTGTGGCCGCCACAGCTGGTGCAGGCAGGTCTTGTCACGTACACCACACATAGAAACCAAATTAACTTTTAATTTACTGGTTCACATTTGGTTAATCTGTGGCACACATGCAAGTTCGGCAAGTTTACGAGACTTTGAATATAACTAATAAAGTTAATTAGAAAATAGACGAATTAAGAAATGCTTGAGAAAGGTTTAGGACTGTGTAAAATTACGTAATTGGCGTATCTGCATCAAATTCTAGTCCAAACTTTTGCTAGAAGTGCAACTAATTTAAGCAGGTGTTGTCATCTATGGGAGGTAAAATATGAACCTATTCATATTTTTTTATTTTTTATTACAGTTTTTCAAATATCTTGTTAAAAAATAAGCGTTGATGCTATCATAGATACTAGCAAACAGGAACGTGAAACACCAAAACATCTCCTGTGTGAATGTGGACCACTAATCCACAAACGAAGCATACATCTGGGACGACATATAATCAGCCCAGAAGATATAAAATCTCTAAAAGCCAGGAATATAATAGACTTTTTGAAGTCTACCGGGCTAAAAGAGTTACTATAGATCTGGCGGCGAGTCACAATAGATCTTCAAGGTCGCAGTGACTACAGTTCCTCAGGGAACTGCATAGCCCCTTACAGCAATAAATAATAATCATAGATACTATTCAGGTTTATTTCATCCCAAAAATGCTAAGTATTTATAGTTTACGTAATACAGTATCTAAAAATGCTTACGTATCTAAAAATATACTTATTTTGTGATATAAAAACAGTGATATGAAATCTTATTCTAACATATTCAAAGCTTTTTATTTAAAAAAGGTCAATTTTGATTCCTTTTTTTTATATCCGTATCTCTTATCACATCAATATTTGAATTCTAATGTAGCTGGCCCAACAGACGTTGTCCTGTCTTAATTATGAATATTGAATTTGAATTGGAATAATAAAAAAAAGGGTTTATTATGCTAATGCTTTACAATATTCTTAGTTTTTTATATCCTTTTTTTTAGTTATAGCCTTGTTTCATTATACACTATTTGACGATATTTGCAGTACGCATTCTGTCAGTTTTGTGTCAAAGGTCACAAGGTTACATTAAAAAAGTTAATGTTAACCAAAGTACTAAGGTTAGATTAGAAATATTTTTTATGGTACCAAATTTCATCAAAATCCGTTCATTAATTTCGGCGTGATTGACCGACAAACATCGAAACTAAGATACTTTTAATAATACCTATTTATATCAAAATTTCTTTTGTTAATAAATATCTAGAAACGACATATATAATACAATACATAGAATACTATTGTATTGTAGTATTTCAAAAGTGTGAACCGATCGTGCTATTTTTATGGCGACTATCAACTTTCTTATCGACCATATTCTTCATGTCAACGGCATTCCATACGAGTACTAATGATAGAAAGGGATTTCTTACGTCTCATTTTATTAGGTATTTATTATTCTGTGCAATGTGTTTTAAATTTATTACACTCGCTATTAACTTTCCAAATACAAAATAGATCATATACAGCCAAAAGTTCGTACTATATGTTATCCTCCATTTATTAGTAATATTAACGGTTTCTCTCCTTTATTTTTTCTTTCTAATTTAAACAAGTGTGGCTGTGACTTTGAATGATCCTGACTAAATGAACTGAATTAATGTATTACTAATGTTGACTTTATTTTATTAATCTATACAAGTTAAACACTTACGATCGGTATATGAATTAAAAAAAAAAACAAAATCTCAAGCGCGGTTCGAGATGTGCTCTACTTCAAACTCTCAATTCAGAAACCGGTAAGTACATACTCGTATTAGTTAGTAAGTTATTATAACTATTGAAGTGTCTTGTTGATATTGTAGTTCGATTATCAATTTCATTGTAAATTCTTCAAATTTTTATACTTATAGCGCGATTACGGGTAATTATGATAATATAGAAGGTGCTTTGCTCCATGAGTAAATAATTACTGAGTTTTCGCCCATTTGTATCATTGCGGTACACTGTCGATTGTCTTGTTTTAGTTAATCTTGTTCTCTACTATTTATTATTTTTCTATTTCAATTTAATTCAGTTTTGTAAAAAATAATTTTCATTTTTATTCTTCAAGCAAGCTTTTGGCTGACTGATCACACCACATTCCATGAAATACACGGCGTTTTGGTGACTACGATTAAAGTAACTTTTCCAAAATTTGTTATCTCAAGCTTACGTAGAATTTTTCGTTAGGTTTTTGTATAAATAAGAAAGTCTTGACTGCAATTAATAGACAAAGAACGTTATTTAAGTAATATTCAATTACTATTGATAAAAAAATATCAAATTGCAAAGTTTATATTTTCATAACCATAATATTAATAATGGTCTCTTCTTTAGACGATTACTTAATGTTTTATCGACGAAGATAATTTATTACATATGGCCAATAAATAATATCCCACATCAAAAGAATCTGTTTCTTTAGCTGATACACTGTATACACTTAAATCTCTGATTAAACGAGTAACGTAATGTTTCGTTAATCATCTTTAAATAACATCTAAAGATACTTTCATTGATTTACATTCATTAGAAGTGATTGAAGGTTTTACTTTCAATGCGCAATTTATTTAATAATAGCTCGTCGTTAATATTTTATTTAAATGATGTTTTAATGAAAATTAGGACTAATAATGTCGAAATTTGAGGAAAATTTGATATTTTTATAAGTCGTCAGTTTATCTCACCTTTCCTTGGAATAACAACTACATTTGCTTTATATGTATATAAAAAAATATTATCTGTAATGTAAACGATTTTTTTTGTAAGAAATAAATGCGTCATTAAGATTACTTTAATAAACAATGATATATTGAAATGATAGTATCAAATCAGGGGAATTACTAATTTAAAATGTAACGTACCTACATATTGAAATTCGCTACATTAAAAATAATTAATAGTGCTCAAGATAAGTTCAAGTAAAACACAATTAAGATCCTGGCTGGTTCTTCACACGGCGTGTTATTATTCTTCTGTATGTTAATTGTTGAATTATATTTGTAGTGTATTTAGTTTATTTCTTTTGCATATTACTGTCTGTCCACACAGTAATATGCATTTTTACCCTGGTGTTTTTTTCATTATCAAGAATGTGAATTTGATTGGAACAAAATATAGTCACTATTACTTAGCCATTATGAAGTGGTCCTACGTTATCATTTGATTTGCTACAAGAGTTATAGTTCATTTAAAAGCACTCACCACATCGTTCCAATCCGCATCACTATCTTCATCAGTGATCCTTTCACTCTTTCCATAATCCCTATACTCTTTCACACTCTGCAGGTCTTTAACTACACCATCGACCTGATCAGCATTCATTTTGCCCCACATCTGCATAGCCGACAACACTTCTTCATCATCATCCGGCAAAACTTTATCTGGCGTCAAAGAATTTAGCTTCTCCAATTTCTCATACAACTTTTCGTGAGGAGTTTCCTCCTTCAGTTCTGTGGTGGTTAGTTTATCTAGTTTCTCGTAGAGACGGTCTAGGCGGTTCGCGAATGACGGTGTTGTCACGTATGCCGTGCGCGAGCGCACCGATAGGAGTATGAATATAACAACGAAGCGCTGCATTGCGTGCGGCAGCGGCGGCGACTGAAACCCGACTGCCCGTCTGGTTGGCACATGGCACGCACGTTGCACCCGTCTCGTTTATAAGCTCTAACCGATTTCAGGACTTGGAGATCAGAAGGTCATGTTTATAATCTAACGTCTAAGACATTTTTGAAAGTAAAAAGAAGCCTTATAAAATTATAGAAACGATCGCGGAATGAAATTGTAACATAAGTAGATGTGGCTATGTTTTAAAAGATGTTTAAATTACTCTAAGATAAACATGCCTTTAAGAAAATATAATGTCTTGTTGTCCATTACCATTGATTTTTGTACCACTTCTCTATATTTTTATTGCTACAATAACTTTTTAGTTTCATAACAAACAAACAAAAAATCAATTATTTTTGTAAATTGCTTTTTTGTTTGGAAACTAAATAAATACTCGATAAAAAATATTCTGCCAATGTAAAGCTACATTGTCAGAGAGCAACATAGATAATATTTTATTATTCAGAAGGTTAGTAACTAGCTAGTTTTAATTATTATAAAACTAGTGGACGCCCGCGACTTCGTCCGCGTGGAAGTCGGTATCCCGTGGGAGTGAGAAGTTTTCCCAGTAAAAAGTACCCTATGTGTTATTCTGATGTATAACCTATATTGCTGTAAAGTTTTATCCAAATCCGTCCAGTAGTTTTTTCGTGAAAGAGTAACAAACATCCATACATCCATACTTACAAACTTTCGCCTTTATAATATTAATAGGATACAATCAGAATTTGAGTATAATTACTAAAATACTTCATATTATTACTGTAAAAATACTAATTTTGCAATATCGATTTTACTAGAAGTATTGGATAAAGTTGGGCAGGGACAGGGAGTCATGGAAGAGGATGGATACAAACTAAAACATATAAAAACTGTAAGAAATATGGAATAAATGGCTTTATTATTATTATTATTATATTAACAGATAGAGCAAAAAGGTATCTTAATTATGTTAACAAGAGGTTGTTTATTCTTATTGACATAATTTGCACACAATATTGTTACTATATTTAATTGATTAGAGTCATGTCGGATAAGAGTTCACACTTTCTGTTAAATATCTGGAAAATAGAAAACGACAAAAGTAATGTGAGTCAGATTGTTAAGGTATTAGGATATTCGAGTAAACTGAGGGTATTTTGTAGATATACAGAAGGGCGGGCAGGGGTTGGTGCTCTCTTGTTTTTCTAAAATATAGGAAACTGGATGTATTCCTGCTTTATAACCTATGTCACCAGCGTATGACGTGGGTGAGAGAATTTTCGAAATCTGTCCAATAGTTTTGGAGTCTATTCAGTGCAAACAAACAGTAAATTCTTTTCTCTTTATAATATTAGAACAGATAGAAGACCTTTGTTCCCGATTGGATAGTACGCCGGTTTTAAAATGTTGTCATCTCTAATCCCGGTCGGGTCAATGTGTGAAATAGACATTTTTATATTGTCTTGGGTCTGGGTGTTTTACTACCTTTGTTGTTTCAGATACTCCATAACACGCAGACTTTAGGTATTCATCTCGAAATCTGAGCAAGGTATGTGATGTTGTCTAAAATATATTATTTATTTATTAATATTTTACTAGATTTCCCCCTGCGGCTTCGTCCGTGTGATCTTGCATTATACATAAAAACCTTCTTTTTGAATCAGCCTATCTATGAAAAAAAACCGCATCAAAATCCGTTGCGTAGTTTTCAAGATTTAAGCATACTTATGGATATAGGGACAGAGAAAGTGACTTCGTCTTATAGTGATACGGATATTTATTTTTATAAATACTCATTACTCACACTTCACCGACATGACTCTACCGGTAATAAATATCCAAAATAATGCGTTATATTCATATGTCGATAAAATTTATTTCTTGGAATCTGACATTATTACGACGGTCAGATTTCTCTTCAATTATCAAGGCCGACCTTGTAAACATTTCATATTGTTGTTAAAATGCCATCAACCTTAAATGAGATGGTTTTATTTATTTCGATTCGGGCATAACGATATCATACGTAGTTAATATTCTTTATTAAAAATGCTTAAAAAAATCCACTCTGTCCCCGGCAATCCAAAACGGGCTCGAACCACGACCACAATACGAGCGACTACCTTTACCACTGAGCTGCCCAGGACCTAATAGGACTGACGAATCTTTCAAGCACTTGTTACTTTTCGCTACTACAGAGCGTACCTTCATCAATGTTCAGACAATCCGCCCAAACAGCTGATGGAAAATTTTAACAAATATTTAAACTTCCGATAAAGATGAAAATTTGGTCTTATTCCTCTATTAACTAAAGACTAATATATTAATGTACTTTATTATTAAGTAATATGTTGTTCTTTATACGGCACTTAATTAAAAAACATCTATGAATATCTCTCCAACTTTTTCGCCATAAACCTTTTCTCTATAATAAACGACCTCTACCTAGTTTTAAAAGCAATTTGGCCAAATTATCAACAACTTCTATATCAGCTAATCTTTCTATATATAGGTATATAACTCAAAAGTGACTAACTGATATAGTGATCTATCAACGCACAGCCCAAACCATTGGGCCTGTGATATAGTTGATTATTAAGGATCGGAAAAATAACCATTTTGACATTGTTAAGATACTTAATTTATTTGACATTCCTACTTACAATGATTTGACCTGCATGATTTAAACCTTTATTTTTAATTTAATATGCTTATTGTAAAAGACTTGCCGAGTGTAACCTTCTGAGTTATATGGCCAATAAATGATTTGATTTCGATTTGATTTGGACGGATCGGGCTGAAATTTGGCATGCAGGTAGATGTTAGGACGTAGGCATCCGCTTAGAAATGATTTTGATAAATTCTAAACCATTGGACGGATCGGGCTGAAATTTTGAATGCAGGTAGATGTTAGGACGTAGGCATCCGCTTAGAAATGATTTTGATAAATTCTAAACCATTGGACGGATCGGGCTGAAATTTTGAATGCAGGTAGATGTTAGGACGTAGGCATCCGCTAAGAAAGGATTTTGATCAATTTTACCCCCAAGGGGATAAAATAGGGGATGAAAATTTGTATGAAACTTTGTCAATTTTAAACCATTCGGGCTGAGACTTTGCATGCATAAAGCTACTATGACGTAGGCATCCCCTAAAAAAGGATTTTGATAAATTCCACCCCAAAATAGGGAATGGAATTTTATTTCGGGTATTTTACACGATATAATGAATAAATTCGTTAGAATTGCTGCTCAAAGTAACTTTACCACGCGTCGAAGTCGCGGGCTAAAGTTTCTCATTATCTACAACAGTACCATTCGTTGTCGGTCTTTTCCGCTAAGACTGGAAATAAAAAAAAACATCAATCATATCATTCAATTAATGAAGTATTGAAAATAATCCCGTTCACATGTCGCCGATGCCCGATTCTTTTTCACTTCATTGTTGACGTGCATTTCATTGTTGATTACCTTTGGGATCGGTTTAAGCTCATTGATCGGTCCATATCTTAGACCTTTTGTCACATCTCAAGAAATATAACATATTTGAGTTTCTCGTAGTACTTACCTCGACCCTTTCATTTGATATGTCGCACCGTACAGTTGTGAAATGTATTAGTTGTCTGGAGTATTCCATAAATGGCATTTCGTATACCCAGAAATGCGTCACAAACAATTGAACTTTACATCTAATAAATGAAATACTAGAATGAAAGTTATCCACGTCATTGTTGTCTTCAATGCATTAAGGTTTAAAAAAAAGTGGAGAAATTTGTCAGTTTTGTATAGTCTGACGTGCTGTTGATTGTACTTTATATTTATATGGAGTCCCCGATATTCTCATTATAATGTTTTTATAATAAAATTTGATATACAGATAATGCTAAGCCTGTATTAACATATAGGCTATTATTGAACCCACTAAACAGTTCCCCAGGGACCATGCGAGCGAAGTCGCTGGCGTAAAACTAGCTATTAAAATTTAATAATAAATTAAATTTTAGCCGCTACAAAATTCTTTTTCAGAGATGAGTTTCACAACAACTTCTAAGATTTCTGAGCTGCCGTGTTCCACAATTGTGCGGATTGAGCAGTAGATTATTTTTTTCTTATATTAGGAACAAGCTTCTCATATATTATTTTAACAAATATTCAAAGTCATGATCCCATTCTACATACTTCACCGCGCGTCTCCAGCAGGTGTTCCAGCACCTCCACACCGGGTACTGAGTGATTTCAGCATACTGCAATTTCAAACTTTTGACAACTGCAACATCAAATTTCAGTATATTTAATAACTAAAGGTGTTCATTTATGTCGCGATTTATATATTAAATATTCTTGTCTAACCGAAACGGAAATTCCATATTTCGTATTCATATGTATATTTTGAGGCCACGAACGTGCGCAAGCGCACCGTCCGTAGTTGCGTCGATTACTCACCGTACTTATCTAATCTGCTCGTAAACCAGCTACAACCAGGCCATCCAGCCTCCTCACAGCCATACCCATGTTATATTTAAAATTATTTGATTAGACAGGTGATTCATTACTTTTAGTTTCATCTCGTCGACAGCTGCCGATTTGATTCTGGCCTACATAAAATTGGGAACAGTTGGATTATTGTGTATTATACTAGTTTTTGGCCGCGATTTCCGATTTACTTTGGCCGGCATTTACAAAAATATTTATTTCAATCTTATGAAAGGTTTCACGGTTTTATCTTTGACGGTGTCGAATTTTATGCAAATTTTCATATCCAATTTCAACCCCTCCATCGCGACAAAAGTTTTGTTTTGCCTTGAGAAAAAACTTTTGTTTTTTCATATCATACAAGCTATACAATTCGTTTTGATAGTTTGATAGATCAATCTGTCGGCCTGGATATATCATTTAAGGACTAAAATACAAAATACCGCCGTTTGCTCGTTTTAAATAAAACCTATCAAGTATTAGTCCCATTTCCGTGTCATTATCTATAAAAAATACATTTATGGCATGCCCCTTACACAAATAATTATTT